CACCCATACAAGAGTGTTGGTACAACTATATTCTCATACATTTCCCTCTTTGCTTCCGCGGACAAAGTTCTTTGTCTCCACAGACTCCTAAGTGTGCCGCTCACTCTTTTTCCCTCACCAATTCTTTGATTCACTTAATCTTTCATAGACCCATCCGCTGACACGTCCAGCCCAAATATCTGAATACATTCACCTCTTCCATACTCTTTCCCTTCAATCTGATATCCAATCTTTCATCACCTAATCTTTTTGTTATCCTCATAACCTTGCTCTTTCCTATATCACTTTTAATTTCCTTCTTTTACATACCCTACCAAATTTATCCACCAACCTCTGCAACTTCTCTTCAGAATCTCCCAAGAGCACAGTGTCATCAGCAAAGAGCAACTGTGACAACTCCCACTTTATGTTTGATTCTTTATCTTTTAACTCCACGCCTCTTACCAAGACCCTCGCATTTACTTCTCTTACAACCCCATCTATAAATATGTTGAACAACCACGGTGACATCACACATCCTTGTCTAAAGCCTACTTTTCTGGGAAATAATCTCCCTCTTTAATACATACTTTAAGTTGAGCCTCACTATCCTCGTAAAAACTCTTCACTGCTTTCAGTAACCTACCTCCTATACCATACACCTGCAACATCCGCCACATTGCCCCCCTATCCACCCTGTCATACGCCTTTTCCAGGTCCATGAATGCCACAAAAACCTCTTTAGCCTTATGTAAATGCTGTTCATTTATATTTTGCACTGTAAACACTTGGTCTACACACCCCCTACCTTTCCTAAAGCCTCCTTGTTCATCTGCTATCCTACTTACTCTCTGACTTACTCTTAATTCTTTCAGTAATAAATCTACCATACACTTTACCAGGTATACTCAACAGACTTATCACCCTATATTTTTTTGCATTCTCTTTTGTCTCCTTTGCCTTTATACAAAGGAACTATGCACGCTCTCTGCCAATCCCTACATACCTTACCCTCTTCCATACATTTTTTAAATTATAGCACCAACCACTCGAAAACTATATCCCCACCTCGTTTTTAACATTTCTATCTTTATCCCATCAATCCCAGCTGCCTTACTCCTTTTCATTCTACCCACTGGCTCAGGAACTTCCCCCACACTCACAACTGGCTCTTCCTCACTCCTACAAGATGTTATTCCTCCTTGCCCTATACACGAAATCACAGCTTCCCTATCTTCAACATTTAACAATTCCTCAAAATATTCTCTCCATCTTCCCGATACCTCGCTGACAGGCGATCTTAACAATGCAAGACATGCCACGGGGGTGGGGACGGTGGTGGAAATCTTTAGGTCAAATACTTTCACACTTCTCAATATTTCTAAGTAAGTGTCTAAGTGAACAGATTCTATTGAGATCCCTGCAGCAGAATAAGTTGGTCAAGCTACTCCACAGTTCGATCAGCTACACAGGTTAGTGCTCATTAAAAATATTTACTTAATAAGACATGAAAAAAGATGCTTTTCACAGAAAAGAGGAGAGCCAAGACGGTATTCTTTAATAAGATTCCCCCAACCACTCTGTGGTCCAACCACAGAGTGATTGGACCACACATACGAATCCGGAGTTTATTATGAACCTTTCTATCAAAGAATTTAACAAAGCTCAGCAGGCAGAGGTAGGGTTTGGATTAATCTTTGCGCCCACAACTAATGATGTTAATTGTGTAAACTTAGCAAAATCCTTGTGCATGCTGGAAAAAACATGGTGACCTGACACCTGATACTTTTAATATATGCATAGGTATGATATACAGGACATTACTCCAGCCAGTGCTTCCCTACGAAAGCTTACAAAGAGCTCGATAAATGTCAGACTCTGCACCTCTCGAGAGGCGATAAATCCAAAGTAGTTATTATTTTGGATAAAACCAAATTGTTAGGTAAAATGAGCCATTTAGTGAGTGTTAATGACACATATGAACCACTTATTAGGAACCCCACCGATCAGGTCAGCAGCCATTTCAATAAACACCTTAAAGGGTTACTGAAGGGAAGTGATGGATTAATTAAGCATCTGTCGCCTAGATCTGCAACTATACTGTATCTTTATGAGGTCATCAAGACTCATAAGCCAGGGTACCCAGTCTGTCCTATGATAAGTTCAGTAGACTCAGCAGCATACAACCTATACAAATGGTTGGTAATACTTCTAACTTCTTTCGTTGGCAGGATCTCAGATGCACATATTAAACATAATATTGACCTTATTGAAAGGCTCCAAAATTAAATGTTGCACATGAGCTTTGATGTCACAGCTCTGTTCACCAGAGTCCTTGTCTCTGACTTGGTTACCTACCTTGAAGAGGGACTAGAAAATTTCTCCCTGCCCTACCCCATGAACAAAATAATTGAACTGGTCAAACATTGTGTTACTGATTGCAAGTTTGTGTTGAAGGGAAATATGCACAAAAACAAGGCATGACAATGGGAAATCCCCTCAGCCTCTTACTCAGCAACTTTTACATAGAATTCTATGAAAATATTCTCCCCGATAAAGCTAGGTGGTTCAGATATGTAGATGACTTTCTTTGCCTATGGCCTAGGGTTCACAATGTTGATGAGATCCTGCCTAGACTCAATGGTCTAGTACCTTCCATTAACTTCAAAACAGAACACGGAATAAAGAACACTTTACCGTTCCTAGATGTTTTAATCCATCGTGTTGACAGAAAATTCAAATTTACTGTCTATAGGAAATCCACCAATTTGTCCTCATACATTCATTACTATTCCGGAAGAAAAGGAGTGAGTTCCTCACAAAGTTCTTGAGAGCCTTGTGCATTTGCAGTCCAGAGCATTTAGAAGACGAAATCAGCAAGATATTCAACATAGCCACAAAACTGAGATACCATAGGTAGGGATTTGATCAAGAAGGAAATAAATGTCAGTAAAGAAGACTTTCTACAGGACTGAACCTATGGAAGTAATTGCAAGTAAAATGTCCTAGTTTTATCATACATTGAGAACCTGGTCTACCCTCACGAGGTATTAAAAAAGATCAATATAAATCTTGCTTTCAAAAGCACAGGGACTGCGAAACAGAGGTTGCTTAAACACACAACCTCAAACAAAGTTGGTCAGGTTTACAAGGTCTCATGCACATACACATATTGGTCAAGCAGGCAAACCTCTGTAAATCAGAATAACTCAGTATAAATACTCACTCAAGACAGGGCAGGAATCGAACGCTATCTTTAACCACGTTAGTTCCTGTAATCACCCACCGGGATGGGCTGTAGCCCAAATTATTGTACCCAACAGTTCCGTCATAGAAAAAACTTAATTGAATCTTCTCTCTTGAAACATGACAGGAATGTCATCTATAACTCAAATTATGGGTTATACAAGCTCGACAGCTATTAAGTAGTCTATTGTACACAATCTTAAAAAACAATGCTACACAAAAATCACAGGATTTCTTATTATGCCAGGGGGGTCCATGATGGATAGGTGGCACTCGACCAGTGTCTATACACCGGGTAAAACTCGTCAATTAGCAATAACTCATTTAAAATTAAGTCCTTTCTAAAATTTTCTTTCATACGCTTAAAGATATATTTTTCTCATTTATGTTCATGTAAAAACTAATAATTTTGTACCCAAGAACCTTAGAATACTTACCTATCCTTATTAAAACAACGCAGTTTAATTTAGCCTAATCCAACTAAATATATTTTAGATAAGTTAACAATAATTTAGTAATGAAAAACACAATGAAATACATATTTTTTCCGTTAGGTTCAGAATGATCTTTGCGAAATTATTGCATACACAATTTTTTGCATGCCTTATTCGGCAAGAAGAGAGTTGCTATTTGAGCCAAAATCGGAAGTTTTACCTATTCGGCACGACATATATATCAAATTATCTTCTGGATGACCCAAAGGCAAGTAAATATTTAGCATCATTCAATTAATAGCTCTCTTGCCACAGGTGCAGGTGCGCAGACATCAATGCTGAAATGTCTCACCAAATTGCTACTTCCCAGCTCCTCCATCACTGTACTTCTTATTTTAGGGGCTTATTAGCACCTTATTTTTCTCAGTTTCTATGTGTATTACCTATATTTGCTTGATGACAATCATTATTAAACTTTAAAATTTTCTACGTCGTGAAATTAGATCTGAAGCTTTTGAGTTAGTAACTGTGCAGTTTCTTTTTTTGTCTCTTCAGAGAAGGATATCAAGCTGCAGCAATAACAGACAAGGATGGATGTCAAGTTCCAAGTGCTCCTGGGATTAATGTGGTAACACCTCAATTACCACAATATCCAACATCCATGAGAGGATCTTGTAAAGTAGTCGGCAATCCAAGTCAGGCGGAAGATAACCCAGTGGTCAGTGCTGGCTTAAAATGCTCTGTGAGTGACTGTCCTTCAGGTTAGTTTAAACTTTTTAGGTTGTTTTTCTTTTGCTTATTACGATAGCAAAAACTGTACTTTCTTATGTTCAAACATTAGTTAACACTTAAAATCCATTTTCTGCTGGGGTTAGAATTGAAGGTAAAAATTAACTAAAATATTCTGGCATGAAGTAATGTACAATGGTCAAGGTGATGTTCACATTTGAAAGATATATGTCCCGAATAAAATGTTTTTTCAAATGAAAATGACTTCACAAAAAGTATTCATTCTTTCACATTTTGCTATTTTGTGGCAGTTTTCCTGCATTTCTTGAAAGACAGCAAGCTGATGACAGCAAAGAATATGTTCTCCTTCTTTGTATCACCCGACCTATTATTATGAGAAATAGATGATGAGTTAAAAGTAATTTAATCCATATTTTATCATATGTTTCATATCAAGTGTAAGTTCTCTTTATTTCTTTATCAGAATATTCGCAGAAAGGTTTGGAATTTCAAGGAAACTATATCTCACATGACAAGGGTAACATACCAGGTATTAACGCAGCCTTCACCACAAGTACTCTTGTATGCTGGGCTTGGCAGATCACACAAGGAATGGACTATCTCACCAGCAGAAAGGTATTGTGCTTTTGCTTTTATTGTTGACGCATGTCCCTAATTAACATTATGTTTTGTGAAGATATTACCAGAGGATGTAATATGCTTTGAAAATATTATTTGTTTTCATTAACAATATTTTTCCTGGTATAAGGACCTATGTACAACTAATGTGACTTTTTACTGTGGCAACGTTTCGCTCTCCAGGAGCCATTATCAAACGGTTACTATTGCAATGGCATGGTAAACCTTCTGGAGAGCGAAACGTTGCCTCAATAAAATGTCACGTTAGTTGCACTTGTGTCCTTTTACCTAACATTGTCATCAATTCTACCATAATTAATACAATATTTTTCCTGCCAGAAGTAGATAGGCTCAGTTAAGTAGAGATCTTATAATAATACTAAATAAACGAAATGGATTAAAAGTTATGAGATGAAGCAGGTGAATTTTAAATGTGGGTTGATGTTTCATCAGTGTTCTTCTTTATGCAATTTTTAAGTATTTTTGGCTCATTAACGATATTATTACCAGAGTTTATAAAACCAAAATGTGATTTATCTAAACTTCAAAAGAACAAACCTTCCTCACTGTGGTATTAAAACCTTATATTTTATAAGACCAAACTGAGGTAAAATACGTATATGATATCTTTGATCACTTTGAGATGTTGGTTTCCTAGAGAAACATCTAATACTTGTAATTTAATCTTTCAGGTCCTTCATGGAGATTTGGCTGCACGAAATCTTCTCCTATCAAATAACAATGTTGTAAAAATTAGCGACTTTGGTCTGTCAAGAAAAATGTACAAGAAAGATGCCTATATGAAGAAAGAAGATGTATATATAGAATCTTCTTATGTTTTGATATTTTTCTGTGGCCAGGAGAGAATTTTGATTAGTAATATTTTCTAATTTTATAGGCTTCTTATTTTTTATTACAAGAAACTTAAATTTTATCAGAGATACTTTCCTTGGTTGGTTTCATTAGTGAGGACTACAAACCAAAGTTAAAACGCAAATTTTAGTTAAATTACAAATCTATACTAACTTATTAAATAGTTAAACATTCAGAAAATACAGTGGTGACTTTCTAGTATTCTTCCTGCATTTATTTACATATAATGGCTAATATTTTCTAGGAGTATTAATTAGCCAATTTGCTCATAAGCCTTAACAATTTTGGATTAACTTGAATATCTTTTTTTCAGAAAGCATTTACATTTATTTTTATGTTTTCGCTGTTCCTTTAAATATGCCAAAATTACGGGCATGTACATGTATTTTTTTTTTCACGTACAGAAGTTTTACCACTTCTGCTTTTGGAAATTAGGTTTAAAATATTTTGTCAATACCATTTTTAGACTGTCCTAATTAATATATTTAAAAGCTGTTTTATCTGTTGGCAATTGTGTAAAATATTTTTTTTCATAATTTCGGTATTATTTTATCAATGGTATATGTCAAGGTTCCTTACTTTGTTTAATGTTCTGAATATTTTATTACACACTTTATATTCCTTGAGTGATCTTCTCACTTTTAAGTACATGGCCATAACCCAAATAAAATTCTATCAATTATTTAGCACTAAAACATGTGCTTTATTCTCCGTTATGTCACTTACAGTAGTTCTGTGAATCTATCATTTAAAGTGATTTTATGCTTAAGTTTTGTCCAATACGGTTTTAAGAGACTTGAATAATATTGCGGTAAATTACCCAATCTGCACAAATAATTTAAAAATAGTATTTTTCAATCTCTGATTCTTTGAATAAAATGCTTTGCAAATGCTTTTGGATCGAAATTGTACCATACAATGTATATATACACCATATTTAAGGAGCAGACTTGTAAGCCAGCTGAAGGCATTGGTCAACTGTTCAAAAGCTCCTGGGATGGACCTTCATATGACTTAGACACGCCTCAAAAAATACTTGTCCTGCTTCTAACGAATCTTACTTAGCCTAATGAATTCCTTATCTTCCTTTGAGATTTTGTTAACTAACAAACAATTAATTTTGTTTCAGGATTTAATGCCAATTAAATGGCTGTCAGTGGAAGCTATCCGTGATCTTATATTCAGCGTCCAGAGTGATGTGTGGGCCTTTGGTGTCACCTTGTGGGAAATATTCTCTTTAGGGTCAACACCTTACCCTGGTATAGAGGTCAACAAGGACTTCTTTAACTTGCTGGAAAACGGCTACCGCATGGAAAAACCAAAATATGCCAACCAACAAATGTTTGTATTCAGTTAATGATGTGTTTGACAGCATGAATAATGTGTGGAGATGATGTACAGTTTTATACTAATTACAATCAACTTTTCTCAGTTCACTGACCTTGTAGAACCACAACAGGTGTAGCACTTTACCACAAAAAAAATAATCTACTGCTACTACTACTACTACTACTACTACTACTACTATTACTACTACTACTACTACTACTACTACTACTACTACTACAACTACTACAACTACTGTTATTACTACTACTACTACTACTATTACTACTACTACTACTACTAATAATAATAATAATAATAATAATAATAATAATAATAATTATAATAATAACGTGGAGTTTCTACAAAAGACACTGTAAAGACTACCAGGATGTATGTGGACAAGTGAGGTAAAGATGAGAAAAGAATACTTGGTAGAGGCGTGTCCAGCGTAGGAGGGAGGAGTATAATATCCTTACCACTTATTATTATTATTATTATTATTATTATTATTATTATTATTATTATTATTATAAGACCCTTGTGGCTACACTAGTTATCAAATCTTTCTTCCGCATTGAAGTATTTTTGTCACATACAAATCATTGTTTGAAAATTATGAACATTTGATGGCATTAACTTTTTGTACAAACTTTTCGTGTTTCCTTTACACATTACTTAAGTTCTATACACTACACTATTTATCTCAATACAATGCTAGTTTTCACAGGTTATTATGTTGTGTCGCTCGGTGTTAGTACTATTATTACACATAATAACAAGTATTTATTAAAGGAACCAATAGCACCTTATTAAGTAATACTTTTGAACCACAGCTTTAGCAACTTCTGCGTTGTTGGTAATTTTACTTTATGTACATAATTTTAATTATTATTTCACTTATTTTGATTATTTCATCTCTATCTGCCTTTATTGTTGTATTTCCGCTGAACCCCGACTATTGGATTGCTCCAAATATTAGAATTAATAAGTTCTTGAACATTCCTGATAAATTGGGACCAATTGATTGATCAGAAAATTTATTGGTAGTACTTCATCCCAAATCTGATTATATCTTAAAGTTTGTAATAGCCTATTTGCTTTAATAATAATAGAAACAACTATAAATAAAAAAGTCGAAATGCTTTGAATCCTTGGACAATGAAGTACCTACCTGGAGGGTCTACCTGGAGGATCTACCTGGAGGGTATGCCTGGAGGGTCTGCCTGCAGGGTCTGCCTGGAGGGTCCACCTGGAGGGTCTGATTGGAGGGTCTACCTGGAGGGTCTGCCTGGAGAGCCTACCTGGAGGGTTCGCCTGGAGGGTCTGCCTGGAGGGTCTACCTGGAGGGTCTACCTAGAGGGTCTGCCTGGAGGGTCTACCTGGAGGGTCTACCTGGTGGGTCTACCTGGAGGGTCTGCCTGGAGAGTCTACCTGATGGGTCTGTCTGGAGGATCTGCCTGGAGGGTCTACCTGGAGGGTCTACCTGGAGGGTCTACCTGGAGGGTCTGCCTGCAGGGTCTGCCTGGAGGGTCTACCTGGAGGGTCTACCTGGTGGGTGCTTTGTGGGTCAACGTCCCCTCGGCCCGGTCCACGATCAGACCTCCCGGTAGACAGGACCTCATCAACCAGGCTGTTACTGCATGCCGCACGTAGTCCAACATACGAACCACAGCCCGGCAGATCTAGCATCAACTTAAAGTATCTGTCAAGCTTCTTCTTGAAGGCAGCCAGAGGTCCATTGGTAATTCCCCTTATGCCTGCTGGGAGAATGCTGAAGAGTCTTGAGCCCCAGACACTTACTGTGTTTTCTCTTTATGTATCAATGGTACCCCTACTTTTCACTGGGGGTATTTTGCACCGCCTACCCATTCTTTTGCTTTCATAGAGAATAATTTCCAAGTGTAGATTATGATGTATCTCTCTCTCGTATGTGCTTCTATGAATTCCCAGTAATTAAGGTGTTTGATGGAATTTATGTATGTAGTACATTATTTAGATCTTCATTATTCCAGCCTAGAGAGAACAAGTGATTTAAAAAGATCATCATTTGCTTGGCATCTCTTGTTTTGAACGTTCTCATTATCCACCCAATCATTTTCCTCGCAAATGTGATGACACTGTTGTGATCCTTGAAGGTGAGATCCTCAGACATTACGACTCCCAGGTCCTTCATATTGTTTCTCTGTTCTATTGTATGATTAGAGCATGTAGCATACTAAGATCTATTTATTATCTCCTCCAGTTTTCCATAACGAAGTAGTTGAAATTTGTCTTCATTCATAATCATATTGTTTTCATTGCCCGTTGATAAACTTGGTTTATATCATCTTGGATGTTTATCCTGTACTCAATGAATGACAGTGTCGTGTAGATCCTAATATTGTCTGCAAAGGATGACACGGTGCTGTGGCTTACATCTCTGTCAATGTCTGATATGACGATGAAGAACAGAATTGGGACGAGTACTGAGCCTTGCAGAACAGAGCTTTTCACTATGGCAGCTTCCGATTTACCTCTTTTTACCACTTCTCTTTGTGTTCAATTGATTAAAAAGATGAAGATCCATCTGCCCAATTTACCAGTTATAACTTTAGAACGCATTTTGTGTGTTATTACAGCATTATCGCACTTGTCAAAGGTTTTTGCGAAATCTGTGTACATTACATTTGTATTCCGTTTTTCTTCCAGTACATTCAAGACCATATCATAGTGGTCCAGTAGATGCGAGAGGCATGAGCGACCCGCTTTGAACCCATGTTGCCCTGGATTGTGCAGTTTTTGGGATCCAAGTGGTTTGCAATCACGTTTCTTAGTACTCTTTCAAAGAATTTTATGATGTGGGACGTTAAAGCTATTAGTTTATAGTTCTTAGCTATTGCTTGGCTGCCAGCTTTATTTAGTGGTTATATATCTCCTGTTTTTAGTGACTGAAATTTCACCCGTGTCTATGCTTCTTCTCCATAGCACACGAAAAGGCTTCTTGTAGTTCTCAATATACACAGAAATCCACGAGTCTAGGTCTGGGGCTGAGTGCATGGGCATGCAGCGAATGGCCTTCTCAAAGTCCAATGGAGATAGGGTAAAGTCCGATATTAGGCATACATTGACGGAGTTTCGAGGGTCATGCATGAAAATATCATTTGAACTGTCGTTCAAATGAGAACCCAAATTAAGAGGTGGTTTTTGCCCTTTTTTTATATATGAAAAATATTTTGAATTTCTTTCAGTTTTACAAATCGCTTTTAGCTCCTCCTCTGTCTCCTGGATCCTGTATGAATCCTTTAACCTAAGCTCAATATTTTCCACTTTACTGGTCAGTGCTTCTTTCCCTATACCAGATAACATAGCGTTCATGACGATCTCAGCGGTTCGATGTCGTCTTCTGTAGAGGGAATATCTTTCTGTGTCCTGTTTACTTCTCTTCTTTTTCTTAGAGGAATATTCCTTCAGCTGCCAGAAAGCTGAGCCATGTTATTTAAGATATCTTCTCAACATATTTCATTTAAGTAAAGGTTCACCTGATCCCAGCTGATGTTCTTGTTATTGAATATGAATGTGGTAAAGACATCTTCATGGCTGCGTGCATTTTGCTGGTCTGTACCCTTGTGCATGTAAGTCTGAACTTCGATTAGGTTGTGATCGGAATTAGTCGTTTTTTATATTGTTATGTTTCTTACCAGGCTCTCATTATTTGCAAAAAATAAGATCAAGTGTATTTTCCATTCTTGTTGGCTCAACTTTTTCTGACTTAGGGTGTTTACTGCAGAGATTTAGCAGCTCATGTGTGTGTGACTTTTCATCTGCACTGCCTCCAGGGATTGTTTCTACTATAACATTATTAGCTACATTCTTCGCTTTTGTATGCCTTAGACTGAAATTACCAAGCAGCACGATGTTTGGGGATGGTGCTGTAAGGCTTTCCAGACAGTAATCAATTTTCAGTAGCTGCTCCTTGCATCTGGTGGCTTATATACAACCACATTGACTAGATTTTGGTTCTCAAACTTTAACTTCATCTTTGACATACATCTTTGACATACATGTCAACCTCCCCTTATTACCTGCTCTTTCTGTCGCATCTAAAAAGGTTGTACCCATTTATACATATTTCTTTGTCAAAGTGGTCTTTTGTGTGGGTTTCTGTGAAGGCTACAAATATCGCATATGAGTCCTTTTGAAGACCACTGATGAAAGATATTTTGTTGGTGGTGGATGGCTTAAGGTCCTGTATATTAACAAATATATATGAAGTCATATTGTGTGTTTGTTGTAGAATTTTGTTGTTGGTTCTAAAGGACCAGGTGGGCCACTGGTTGTGGCTCCAGTCCAACAAGGCTCCAAGGTGGTCGACTATTTTGGTTATTTCCTTCCATTTTCTTTCTTCGTTTTCTGCCACTAAAAAATCACTTGGAGTGGGGTTGTCGTAACAAAAATGGTTTGTTTTATGGGGTCTGTACCTCCTGGTCCTTTTTAGTTGATGTACAGGGCAGTTGGTGTTGAAGCATTGTTTTTGAAGGACTGAGAGTGGCACATTTTCGGGTGAAAGAGTCTGCAGGAGGTAGAACGACACACTTCTTCAGACAGGAGGTCGCGACATTGTGTAGGATGATAAATTAGACACATATGCAACTCTTGGGTATCTTTATTGAGGAAACGTTTCGCCACACAGTGGCTTCATCAGTCCATACGAAGGAGAAACTTGAAGAACAGGAGGAGAATGAGGTAATCAGTCCCTCAACCTTGAGTCGATGAGTTCAGTCCATCATTCTTGAATAGAATACGGCATATCAGCGGAGAAGCAGCTTATAAACCGTATGGCAGGAGAGGTGCCGCTGATATGCCGTATTCTATTCAAGAATGATGGACTGAACTCATCGACTCAAGGTTGAGGAACTGATTACCTCATTCTCCTCCTGTTCTTCAAGTTTCTCCTTCGTATGGACTGATGAAGCCACTGTGTGGCGAAACGTTTCCTCAATAAAGATACCCAAGAGTTGCATATGTGTCTAATTTATCAACATGTCGGTTCTCTGAACCATTCATCTACAAATCTGTCAGACACTGCAACTTCTTGGGATCTTAATACTTAGGAATTCTTCGCTTGCCTAATTCTTGGGCACGACCTACTTCCACATTGAACAAGTGTGACACGACCTATGACTGCTGCACCTCTCCTGCCATACGGTTTATAAGGTGCTTCTCCGCTGATATGCTGTATTCTATTCAAGAATGATGGACTGAACTCATCGACTCAAGGTTGAGGGACTGATTACCTCATTCTCCTCCTGTTCTTCAAGTTTCTCCTTCGTATGGACTGATGAAGCCACTGTGTGGCGATACGTTTCCTCAATAAAGATACCCAAGAGTTGCATATGTGTCTAATTTATCAACATGTCGGTTCTCTGAACCATTCATCTACAAATACATTGTGTAGGATGCTCAATGTTGCATGTCCCATTTGTTTTTCCTGATATTCCATGCTTACAGATGCCACAAGCAAAGAATCTGCACCATTTTTCTATTGGTTGGATAAAATTTGTGGTAGATGTGTTCTCAGTAGTCAAGCCAGAGCCTCCACCATCTGTTTCCACACCAACGTTTTCCCCGGTAGAAGACTTCCTCTAAGGGTGGTTATATTTTTAAGGTTTAATTGTGGCTGTGTTAGAGTCTTAAGCAGAGCATGGATTAGTATTAAGGCTGTGGGCTGAGTTTGAATCAGTACTAGGGCTGGGGGCTGAGTCTGAATCAGTACTAGGGCTCGGGACTGAGTCTGGGTCAGCACTAGCGCTCTGGGCTGAGTTTGGATTAGCGGTTGGGCTGGGGGCTAAGTCTGAGTTATCACAATGGGTGGGGGTAAGGAGAGCAGATGTTTTTCGTTTCCTGTATTTTTACAGTGGGTGACTATTTATTTCCGAGTCATCTGTTGTAGTATGGTGAACATTCTGTATTTTAAGTTTTACTCCTTTCCTTTCCTACCATGTTCTATATATCTTGGGTAGACTGTCCAAGAGTTCCTCTTTGTTTTCCTGATTATTATTTAACACCCTCCTGAGTACTTTTCTGATACCTGTCCAAAGTTCCATATCTTTCTTGCAAATTCAGAAGCACCTGCTAATTGGATGTCATTTTTAAAAGCAGTGTTCATTCTTGCACAAGAAATATGATGTTTGGAAAAACACAGGGTGCATGTGATCCTGGATTTCCATCCAAGGACCTTTTCACATGTCCCACAGGTGTAATGTACTCACATCCTGCCTGTATCCTACTTCAGACTGCGTGTTACTAAAAATCTGATTTCCACTTTATCTTTCTGCTCTTCACTGGATGTTTAAGGGTGACAGTAATAGGATATGCGAGATGTATTTAAAAACCAAGACTATTACCCATCAAAAATATTTCTATGTATAACATCACAGACTTTTCCAGTTAGGGTACATTTCCTGATCTCCGCACATACACAAGTCAAGAGCATGATTTCTTGCTAAGATTATTGTGTAAAATCAAAGGACACACGTGCAACTAATGTGACATTTTTATTGTGGCAACGTTTCGCTCTCCAGGAGCTTTGTCAAGTCGTGTCCTTTTACTTTACATATTGTCGGTAATTCTGCCAACATTAATACAATAAGATTACTGTGGTGTGTGGTATATGTCGGGTCAGAGGGGCTTGGGTGGGTAGCGATGCCATGCGTATATGGCTCTGCCAGGCGTACATGGTAACAACATTACCACCGGGTATGTGGCACTATATGTGATGCCACATTTGTAGTTCCATTTTTGTTGAATCACTATCCATGAGTCGTTTCACTATAGCTATTACACACTCAGGCATTAAAAAAATATCCCAGAATTTGAAGAGGGAGCTTTAGACAGCACTTTTGTTTGTTCTACACTATTATTAATAAGTGTTAAGACTGAAATTTGACCTAAAATGTCTAATCCAATTAGTGGTTTAGTTGTGAACTGCTCAAGACGCAGTATTCTTTATTCTCCATTTCCAGATATGATTTGCTAATCCAGTGTTGGGAAAAGGAACCCATGAACCGGCCAAGCTTCGCTCAAGCTGCTGAACATCTAGCTGCTCTTATGTTGCCAGATCTTACAGGAGTAAGTTGTAAACTTAATTAGTTTGCCCCACATTATGTGAAATGGGAATTGTTTTATTACTTTTAAATTTAAAAAATCTGTGTTTGGACTGCATCCTTTTTATGTGATATTCAGTGTTACATAGATTTATGTTCTTCAAAGAGTCCCTTATGTTTATGTTCTATAAATAAGTGCTATTACTTAGGAGTTAAGTTATTAACAATAACAATAAGGAAGTAATAGCATTTACGGGATCCTTCCATGAACTGTTGATCTAATAGAGATGAAACCCGATTATGAGAATAAAATGTTTGTGTCAGGCTTCGCAGGTGGAGGAAAAACAATCTAAGAACATGATGTTTAACATAACCATAAAAATAACTAGATGAGTTCTGTCGCTGTGCGATTCGAAAAAGATATCATCCGTACATTATAACCCCAATCCAGTGTACCTCATTACACACTGTAGCAACGATGCAGAGACTGCTGCATAAGCTGCAGTTATTTATTAGCATTAACGATATAAAGCAAATAAAAAGAGATATTCACAAGTTATCACACTGATATTGATATCTCAGTCCCTTCAATATCAACGGGAAAATAAGACATATATATTTTTTAGTTAAAGTCAATAAGAAACTCAAACCGAAGAGACAAACTCTCAGAGAGACCAATATCCGAGATGCTCAGAAGTTACATAATCAACTTATCATCGTTGAAGTGTTGAAACAAACTGGAGGAAGCGACTTGGGACTTACACAAGTCAAAATCAATACAAACTGGTTTTTTTTTTCTTCTTTTACACAGGGTTTGACAAGGTTAAGGATCCCTAGCTTTATTGACAAGCTATTTATAGGTTAAGGATTCCTAACTTTATTGGCAAGCTAAGAGCTGTTACCTACATCAGCTCATTTGAAAGCATTTTTATTGTTATGAGACATACAAGTAGGGAACAGGATGAAGTTGGAGCCATCTGTGGGCCAGCATTTTCATTTGATCAACTGACTTTATCTTGTTGACATCATTATGCTGTATGAATGTGTTCCATACTCGAGTCATCCTGGGTATATATGATCTCAGATGGAGTGATGTTCTGGAGAAGGGTACAGCCAGAGTGAAGTTGCTGCTTTCTGCCCGTCTTGTGGCATAAAAGCTTGTTTCACGCTGTCCTCGAAGTGGATCCAAGTGTGGTACGTTGACAATATTGGCCTTGTACATAACAGTTAGGCCACTCACATCCCTCCTGTGTTGAAGGCTCTGCTGAAATGACACATCTATCCAGGATGGGTCCAGGCGAGAGATGAAACGTCTTGCTCTGTTCTCTACTCTGTCAAGCAATCGCAGATGAGAGGGTGGGCAGCCAAACCAAGAAAGTGGAGCATACTCAAGGTGTGAGCGTACTTGTGCCTCGTACAGAATCTTGCAACCCCTACTGTCAAGCAGATGCGAGATACGGAGGAATGCTGTAAGTTTCCTGGCTGCCTTGTTTGCAAGATTTGCAACATGGTTCTTCATGGTTAGTTTGGAGTCAAATTTCACCCCAGGGATATCAACTTCTTCTCCAGGTGCAAACACCCTCCCATTCATCCTTACTACTGCACCAGCATTACCATCATGGTGCCTAGAGACGATCATTTGCGTTTTCTCAGGTGCAAATGTTACTTGCCATCTATTTCCCCAAGCTGATATAGCTCTTAACTGGTGATTGATGTAGCTTAGAGCAGCTGGCATCGCATTTCATCTCTTGGATAAGTGAATGTCAGTGTACAGTCGTCTGCATATGCATGTGATTGTGGGATGAGATGAAGAAGGTCGTTGAAGTAGACATTCCATAACAATGGTCCCAGCACGCTTCCTTGTGGAACACTTGCCCCAATAGGATGTCTTGCTGATTCCGTTCCATTGAGAACTACACTTAGAGATTTACCATGAAGGTAATCACTGAGGAGACATAGCGTAGAGCCTGCAATTCCCAGTGCTTGAAGTTTTGCTAAGAGGCCCTGGTGCCACACCCGGTGGAAAGCGCCAGCAATGTCCAGTGCTACCACACAGCTGACTTTGGATTCATCCAGTGACTGGTGCCACTTAATGGAGAGGTTTAACAACAGATCAGCAGCAGAGTAACCTTTCCTGAAGCCATATTGATGATCACAAAGTAGTGAGTGGTAGTCAAAAAACTCTGTCATTTGTCTTGAGATTATTGTCTCAAGGATCTTACCAGTGATTGACAGGAGTGACACTGGTCTGTAGTTGCCGATTTCTGCTCTGCTCTTCTTTTTGTGAACAGGGACTACATTTGCAGGGACTACATTTGCAGGGACTACATTTGCGAGTTAGAGGTGCTGCTAGCTGTTCTGCACATCTCAGAAATCTTGGGCTCAACTTGTCTGGGCCCACAGCCTTTTCTTTGTCAAGCGATTTAAGGCAATGCACCTCCTCCTGCCTTATTGTCACCACTGACAGTTTTGACACAGTTCTTGCAGCTAGCCAAGGAGGGTCCCTTGCTGGATCAGGAACTTGCATTTTGGTAGCAAAGTGTTCAGCAAAGAGGCTCGCCTTCTCTTGACTACTAGTAGAGGTGGTCCCATCCTGTCGATTTGGAGGTGGAATGAGTTCATCAGGCAGATAGCCTTGTCTGTCCTTGACCAGGGACCACCAGGTTTTGGAGCCTACCATACCTGATGCTAACTTTCTTTTAGTGTCCACCTCCCATTTAGCAATGGCCCACTTTTGAACGTCACCCATATTCCTACAGGCTTTCCTGTGCAAGTTCCTGCTATAGGTAGTAGGATGTCTCTTATACCTTCGCCATGCTTTGTACTTAGCAGTAGCAGCCTCTCTACAACGAAAGCCAAACCAAGGCTGATCTGTAGGCTTCGTCACATATTGACGGTGAGGAATGTGTTCTTGTTGTAGATTAAGGATGTGTCCAGTGAAGGCTTTCACTTGGTTGTCAACATCCCCTTGGAGAAGAGCATTCCAATCGGTGGTGGCGAGCTCAGACCAAAGGGCTGGCCAATTACCTCTTTCCCATAGCCAGGTTATGCGTGTGGACTCCTCACCTCGTTCTGTTGGGATCTTAAGTGTCGTAAAAACAGCCTTGTGGTCAGACAATCCAACGTAGCCGAGGGGTTGACAAGTAACTATGCCTTCTGCCAGATCACTCACTATTGGGCCAAGGGAGGAGCCAGAGATGTGAGTAGGGAAATCAACAAAGTTTCTCATGTCAAATACTGCAAGAATGTCATCAAAATCCCTCTGTATAAGGTGTTGGTTGAGGTCACCAACAATTATGATATGTTGACAGTTGTGTTGTAGCAGATGGGAATCAATATTTTCCATTAGGAAGTTGATGGGGTCTGCATGTTGCCAATGAGGTCTGTACATTGCACATGCTAGTACAGAGGTACTAGTGTTTATGCAGAGCTTGAAGAACATCATTTCAAGATGAGTAGGGGTGGCAACATCAATATGCTGGGCATGAACACTTTTAGAAAAGCACACAGCAACACCTCCTCCTTGCCCTTGCCTGTCCCTTCTCATCCATGAGGTGTAGCCAGCAATTCTTGCAAATTTTATGGAGTCCTGTCATCCAAAAATGTTTCAACAACAGCTATCATGTCGGGACGTCGAGTGTTCACAAAACTATGTGTGAGCTCTCCAACATTAGTAATGAAACCTCTAATGTTGGCCGACAGGATTCTGATAGACTGGCTCCTCATGATGTGGTCAGCCTGAGGTGGTGGGTGTGTAGGGCATGTAAGGTGCCTGCCCTTGAGAGAGGTAGGGTACTGAGGCAGCTGCCGGGATGTAGGTCTGTGGTCTTGTATAAGGCACAATACCACTTGCTGGGCTGAGATAGGAGTAGCTGGTGGGTGATGTGTGAGTGTTCACCAATTCAGAGATCCTGCTGGTTTGTTCTGAGAACAGGTCTCTAAACAGGTGGTCCTGTCTGTCAAGTTCCTTTTTCTTCCGACACTGGTCCTCCTGATGTCCTTTCTTGTAGCAGTAATTGCACCTGGTATCTCGAAAGCAGATGTTGGCGGTGTGCCCCTTCAGGTGACAGCGAGAGCACAGCCTAGGTGCCTGGGAGGGTGGACTATGATTTACTGCACCTCCTGTGTTTTGCAGATTTGTCCTCAGGTTCTGCCGCTGGGACTGTGTTACTGGAGGGTGAGACGGCTGTAGATGTCTTCCCGTCCTCTACCAGTTCTGACAGATGTGTCCCTGCTGTTCGTACTTTGTTCTGTAGTAAAACTGACCAGTATTTAAGTTATTCACAAATGATTGATTTTATTCTAATGATTAGAAACTCAACACTTAAATGTTCCTCTTTAATACGGTACTTAAATTCCATCTTCGGAAAATAAGATTTTACTAAAATTGAAAAAGAAGAAAAAAGTACAAGAATAACAACAATAAAACAGCAGTTAAACCAACATTAAAAGTAATAAATATAACAATAACAACAACAGCAAAAATAAAAACAAGTTTAAGAATATCCAGCCGTGGAAATACTTGTTTGCCTCCACCTCTTTCCACCTGTGACTTGTTAGCTAACATTCTTATTGATATTAACTTAATTATATTCAATGAGCTGTACTCATTGACTTGCACTCACCAAGTTGTACTCACACTGCTTAATTGGGAGGTATACGATCATCGTTAAGATGTGATCAGTGACAATAAGTTAAATTGTCCATACGCTTCCCAAATTCTGGGAAACCTGTACATAATTCAGGTAGTGAGCAATAAATCGGCTACACTACAATTCTCCACTCAAGTTTTCTCCCAACATTTCCTCTACAGTAATGGTTCCATCAGTTTTATATTCATAGATCAGTTTCATAAGCTTCTTCTCCTTATATTAGTCTTCCACGATATTTTACACTGGGATAACCTCTGACAGTCATCGCTGGCAAACTTCCTGTGTTTCCTTCAAACACATAAAATACAGGACTATGACATATTTTAATTGTGTTACAGTGAAATTCACTTATATTGGTCAAAATATGTTCATAAGTCAACACACAAAACAAATTAATATTTCTTTAACAAATAGTGGGTTTAGGCTAAAAAATATGTACTAAATATAAAAAAACTCTTGTTTTCATCTTCCACTGTTTAGCTCTAATGAATTTAAGATTGCATCAATCTTAAACTCATTAGAGCTAAACAGTAATCCAGAAATTTAGTAATATAAATGATTGGTCTCTTCTTAATCTACAAATAACATAATGTAAATTGCGATAGGAACATTTTTATTTTTCATGAAGGAATTACATTAATTTGAATATTACCTGGTAATGCTAGGTATGGTGAAAAGCTTAAGACACTCCCATTCCTGGGAGCCAAGACCGCGTTGTCATCTGGAGAAAACCCTCACCGGTAGTACCAGCGAACCTCAACAACAACAACAACAACAAGATTAAGAACATTTTTTAGGAAACCAGTTGACGAGTAAAAGTCAAAACTGTAGCCTCTAATGTTATATGTGAAAGGCATTCATCACTTTGTACACAGATAAACCCTTTCAGGTAGTCTCTTGATTCTGTTGAAAAGATCTTCATCCATGGAAATGTTGTTGTCCTCATCTTCTGTCAAACGTGATTTCTTCTAAACTGTAAGACCCCTATGGTTATTGCACTTTCCCTCGAATATAATGCTAATGTCTTGATAGATTCAGAAGGTTGAAGAAGACAACTGAGTAAATGCTCATATATTTAATTTTCTGATTTTCAGCATTATTTGGAAATGAATAATCCGTATCTGAGGATGAATAAGCAGCGGTTCAACACAGAAACTGATTATCTGAACATGATGTCAAGTCCTGATTATGATAACCTCCACCGGCAAGATGATGATGCCAGGACTGTGTACATCAACGTAGAGGTGAATCATGTATCAAAATTCGTTAAACTTTTCCTGATTTTTTTTTTATCGTGCAAACTTATATTATTACACAATTTTTGTATTCTTATATTAGTTACATTATGAATTTAAGTTACAGAAAGGAATGTAAGATAAGGGACAAGATAGGCCCACTTAAGAGTAATTCAGGTCAGATCACTGACAGTGATAAGGATATATGTGAAATTGTCAATACTTACTTCCCCTCAGGTTTAACCCAGGAAAATACTAGCAAAGTTCCAGAAATAATAGATTATGTAGAACAGGAACATGATAAACTATGCACGATTGTGGTAACAGTGACATGGTCCTCAGACAAATAGAGAAATTAAAACCTAACACATCCCCAGGCCCTGATGAACTGTTGGCAAGGGAGCTAAAGGAATGCACTGAGGAACTTATCATACCTTTGGCTAATCTTTTCAGCATATCATTACAAACTGGCATATTGCCTGATAAGTGGAAAATGGCAAATGTAATTCCTATTTATTAGGCAGGTGACAGGTCCTTAGCTTCGAACTATAGACCAATAAGCCTTCCCCCATAATGGGAAAACTTTTGGAATCAATAATTGCCTAAGCAATTCGTAGCCATCTGAGATTAATGAATCTCAGCATAGTTTTGCAAAGGGGCGTTCCTGTCTTACAAATTTACTAACTTTCTTCACTGAGGAATTTGAGGAGGCAGATCATGGTATTAAATGTAATATTGTGTATATGGACTTCATTAAGGTTTTCGAAAGAGTTCCACATCAGAGGCTATTGAGGAAATTTAAGGCACACGGAATAGGAGGAGAATTTTTTTCTTGGGTAGAGGCATGGTTGACAAATAGGCAGCAGAGAGTTTGCATAAATGGGGAGAAATCAGAATTGGGGCACATCACAAGCGGTGTTCCACAGGGGTCAGTGTTGGGCCCCTTGTTGTTCATAATCTACATAAACGACATAGATGAGGGAATAAATAGCGACATAAGCAAATTTACTGATGATACCAATTCATTCTAATGAGGACTTTAGAACACTCCAGGATGATTTGAATAGACTGATGCAGTAGTCGGAGAAGTGGCAGATGCAGTCTAATATAGACAAATGCAAAGTTCTAAATGTTGGACTGGAAAATAGCCATGCCACATATAAACTAAATAATGTAGATCTTAATATTACGGATTGCGAAAAAGATTTAGGAGTTCTGGTTAGCAGTAATCTGAGACCAAGACAACAGTGCATAAGTGTTCGCAATAAAGCTAACAGAATCATTGGCTTCATAGCAAGAAGTATAAATAACAGAATCCACAGGTTGTTCTTCAACTCTATATATCTTTGGTTAGGCCTCATTTAGATTATGCTGCGCAGTTTTGGTCACCGTATTACAGAATGGTTATAAATGCAGTGGAAAACGTACAAAGGAGGATGACAAAGTTGATCCCATGTATCAGAAATCTTCCCTATGAGGACAGACTGAGGGCCCTTAATCTGCACTCTAGAAAGGCGTAGAATTAGGGGGGATATGATTGAGGTGTATAAATGGAAAACAGGAATTAATAAAGGGGATGTAAATAGCGTGATAAAAATATCTAACATAGACAGAACTCGCAGCAATGGTTTTAAATTGAAAAAATTCAAATTCAGGAAGGCTATAGGAAACCACTGGTTTGTTAATAGAGTTGTGGATGAGCGGAACAAATTCCCGAGTACTGTCATAGAAGCTAAGACGTTGTGTAGTTTCAAAAACAAGTTGGATAAATACATGAGTGGGTGTGGATTGGTGTGAGTTGAACCTGACTAGCTTGTGCTTCTAAGTCGGATGCCGTGCTCCTTCCTTAAGTGACGTGTCTGACTTAACTAGGTCAAGGCATTGGCTTAAGCCGGTGGCAGAATTGAACCTGCCTCGTATAGGCCAGTAGGCCTGCTGCAGTGTTCCTTCTGTCTTATGTACTTTTTGTGTTCTTATGTTAAACTTTCTTAAATAGTCATTTTAATTCCTGCAAATCTAGATGATATGAATGAAAATGATGCTGATTTTGTGAAAGAAGGAAATACTGAATCATGTATAATTGCTGTAACTAGCTATTAACACAAGAGCTGTGCTGCATCCATAGATTATGTTTCTAGACACTATCTCCAGTAATTGATTTACATATTTTTTTTCTTAGTAAATTATGCATGTAAATTTTTATTGACTAATTTTGAATTATTAAACGTGTCGGTCTTTATAGTAAAAAATCTGCTCCTAATTTTTTAATCAACAGAAAACTGATGATAGGAACACTGAGAACATCTACCTGAAAATGAAGTCACCAAAAATGGTAAGATACTCTGGTGAAGGTAGTGATCTACTTTCTATGACTGGAGTGTCCAATCCTAATTACATGACAAAGAAATCCTCCTGTGGAACTTCAGATCCAATGGCTAATGAGTTTAGTTCTCAACTTAATAAATCCCCAGGTTTGTCGCATTTTTGTTATTGAAGTATTATTAATATTCATAGAAAGTACAGCAAATTTGTAAATGTCTACTGATTGTGTTCAGTGAGAAAGGGTTGAAAGTCCAAGTAATAAAATGTCTGTGAGCGCTCGTCTTTGATGCCACTTGTAGAGTAAGTTGTCCCCAGACAATTATTGGCCAGTGACCAGCCAAGTGTCTTTGGCTCCTTCAGGATAATGCCTCCCTCATATTCATGTTTTTCCATTACTAAAAAAACACTCCTTCCTGATCACCTTAAGCATTTTCAGAGGTTTCATTTTCCAAATAGAAGATATGAACATCCACAATGATCTCAAGTCAAGAAGTTGGCTCAAGTATCACTTGAAAATGTTGTTCACTCCATAACAAAGATGTCAGTGTTCGATGGATGTTTTGGTGATACCCTAAATATCACTCGTTATTTACCGGTCTCAGAAAAGTTGTTGAAACATTTCAGACCGTGGCTTTTCGTATTATTTGAATCAAGTTTCACACAAGCACAGTCCTTACGACGGTGGAGGATGATGTTCCAGCTAAATAATCATTGTGTCTAGATTTCATCAGACCAGCAGTTTCATCTGATGAAAGTACAGTCAGGATTTTCTCCCCAAATTCACACAGCCATCAAAGGAAATTTTGCGTTCCTATTTTTTTTTTCTTGAAGCTCCTGATACTAGTCAATAGAAATTAGAGTTAAACGTTGTCATAATAAAGACTTTCTCTTCCATTTGTTTTTGTATTTATTGAAGAAGGTGGTATGACCTATACAGTTTTACACCAACATATGACATATAACCACTGTTGCCAAGAGAGATGTAAAGAAAAACACCACACAAGGAGAAGCTTTTATTTTAATATTAAAGATAATTACCAAACCTTTGGTTATGCAAAGAATTTCCAGCAGCCTTTAAATGAAATGAGAAGAACTTAAAAACTGTTTAATAAGTGCCTGTCAAACGACTATGGGTATACCCCAATCCACTTTTTTCCTTATATATATATAAAGTTTTTCCTATTCGGCACAACATATATATATATATATATATATATATATATATATATATATATATATATATATATATATATATATATATATATATATATATAAAATATAGGGAGGTACCACCTCTAGAACTGTTATAGGGATCCTCATCCTCAGAGAAAAGAATAAACTTGCTTCAGGGAAAACTCAAGGTTCTCCCTGAAGCTGTTTGAGAATTTTCTCCTACCACCCCCTATATTTTATATATATTTTATTTAAAGACAAAATACATTGACAAAACATTCACAAAAATATGATAGAAAGTAAAACAACATAGGTAACTCAGAGCTACATCTCGAATACTTCGTTCAGCTCCCCGGCGGTGGTCCGCGTGCCCAGAATGCTGCAGGCATTTCCTTTCTGGATCGCAACACTGAGTCTCTGAAAGAGGAAGCTGGTCGCCCTGTGGTCCTTGGTTTCTATGATGAGCTTTTCACCCAGCTCTATTAGGAACTTCAGAGCACACTTGCCCAATGCTCCAAGGGTCTCCGACCCTATTGGGATGAAGTTATAGCAAGGGGGAAAGTCTTCATATTTGCGGATCTTCTGGGTCTCCCTGTGGCTGGCAACTCCACCCCCTTCCACTATGGAGTGTGGCAAGTAGGTGTCTGCCAATGTGGCGGCACATGTCTAGTCCAGGCAATCTGCTTTCCATCCTTCCAAGGTAGCATAGTGGCTCCATCAGGACGCTTTTGACTTCCGTCAGACCTCTGCACTTGGGGTTCCCGTTGAGTTGGGCAACGGGCTGTAGCGAGGCTTCTCTTTATGTCATTGATCACCTCATGCTTGGCATACTTCCCTTCTGCTGTGTGACACACGACACCATGAAGTCCGAATTGATCAGCTGTCGCCCTGCCGCAAATACACATATGTTCGGTGAGGATGGGGGCGGCTAGGCCAAGTGCAACACCAATCCGAATGGCCTGTGAGTCTAGTCGAGTGCCCAAGGAGGAATTGGGAACAGCTAACAGGAAATCTCCTGAGTGTGGTGCCTTCACTGCCAGGAGACGAGCTTTGTCCTTTCCTGAGGCGTTGGAGAGCATTGTGTTGGCGATTTTTTTCCATGATCGGTTTGTCCCAGTGGGACTGTTTGTGTTCTTTGGGAGGAGCTGGTCTACTGGAGGAATCTGTAAGGGTGTCCCACCGAATCGCTGCTTCAGTAAACCTGGGGTCTTGAGCTCCTACCACGTCTCTCAAGCGTTCGGGAACAATCTTCTTGACTAATGCACTGGAAGCCAAACACGAAGACAGAAAAGCTGGTAAAGCAACATGCGTTGCTTTGCGCACCCCTATACCTCCCAGTCGCACTGAGAAAGTTGCCTGATCCCATTGCTGATCCTCTAGTGACAGGTTCAGTGCCTTCTTGAGGGTTGACCTCAGGTGTGCATCACATTCGTCGAGTGTTGGGTTGTCAAAAGAGGGTGCACACCTCAGGAAGTGAGTCTTGGAATAGTAAGGCACCTTGTGAGGAGATACAGAGCATCATGGGCATCAAGATTGCTTATTTTCTCCTCCATTCTCATCAGGTCATTTAATTTGTCCTTGAGGACTATGTCTATGGCCTGGTGACCCAGTGGTGCTCCCAAGAGGGTACTGTTGGACGGAGTGGTAGTAGAGACTTCTGGGAGGATTCTTCGCACAGCATTGATTATTTCCTGGTTCGCTGTGATGGTTTCACACTTGGAGGGATTGAGGATGAGTCCCAAGTCTTCTCCCTGTGTTTTCACCAGTTGTAGGTCCCCTACCAGGGACTCTTCAGTACCTGCCAGAGTGCCATCATCCAGGTACCAGATGTTGAGCTAGCTGCGTAGGCTGGAAGTTAGTTCTCTTACTGCCAAGCAGAAGAGAAGTGGAGCTAGTGGGTCACCCTGCTGAACACCTTCTGATGAGAGAATTTCATGTTCTCCAAACAAAAGAATTGAGGGTTTGCTGTAGCCGGCTGAAATGAAGGGAAAAAGACTGGGGAAGCGATCCCGAACAGCTGGCAAGACATATATATATATATCAGTAACAACACTGCTCTAGCCAAGGATTCGAACCCATGTTGTACTGGCCTGCCTCATGGTAAGCGAGAACTACATGACGCTTTAAACCACAGGACCACCCAACCCTACAAGAATGGCGCAGCCAGCAATGCTAGCTGTTGGGCCGGCATCCGAGGACATACGGAAGTGTGGGAGCTTCTAAGCTAATTTCAATCTCATCCCTGTTTGGTGTACTAGCTTCACGAGCAGTATTTATATATTATTGTAACCACGAACGAGTGGTATTGATCAATAACAACACTGCGCTAGCAGTACTGGCCTGCTTCATGGGCCTGATGGGCCGCCATCCGAGGGCATACGGAGGTGTGGGAACTTCTAAGCTAATTTCATTCTCATCCCTGTTTGGTGTACTAGCTTCACAAGCAGTATTTATATATTATTGTAACCACGAGCGAGTGGCATTGATCAATAACAACACTGCGCTGGCCAAGGATTCGAACCCATGTTGTACTGGCCTGCCTCATGGTAAGCGAGAAAGTCATGACGCTTAAAACCACAGGACCGCCCAACCCTACAAGAATGGCGCAGCCAGCAATGCTGGTCTGTGGTTTAAAGCGTCATGAGGCAGGCCAGTACAACATGGGTTCGAATCCTTTGCTAGCGCAGTGTTGTTATTGATCAATACCACTCGTTCATGGTTACAATAATTTATATATATATATATATATATATATATATATATATATATATATATATATATATATATATATATATATATATATATTTATATATTTAGGTAGAAGGTTGGTAGACAGCAACCTCCCAGGGAGTTACTACCGTACTGCCAAGTGAGTGTTAAACAGAAGCCTGTAATTGTTTTACACGATGGTAGGATTGCTGGTGTTTTTTTTTTCTGTCTCATGAACATGCAAGGTTTCAGGTACGTCTTGCTACTTCTTCTTACACTTAGGTCACTCTACACATACATGTACAAGCATATAGTATATACACACTCCTCTGTGTTTTCTTTTATTTTCTTACTAGTTCTTGTTCTTGTTTATTTCCTCTTACCTCCATGGGGAAGTGGAACAGAATTCTTCCTCCGTAAGTCATGCGTGTTGTAAGAGGTGACTAAAAGGCCAGGAGCACGGGGCTAGTAACCCCTTCTCCTGTATATATATTACTAAATGTAAAAGGAGAAACTCGTTTTTCCTTTTGGGCCACCCCGCCTCGGTAGGATACGGCCGGTGTGTTGAAAGAAAGAAATATATATGTATATATATATGTCGTGCCGAATAGGCAGAACTTGCGATCTTGGCTTAAATAGCAATGCTCATTTTGCCATATAGGACAAAAGAAAATTTGTGTATGCAATAATTTCGCCAAAATCATTCTACCCTAACGAAAAAAATATATTTCACTGGGTTTGTTTAGTATTAAATTACTGTAAACAAATCTAAAATATATTTAGCTGGGTTAGGCTAAAATATATTGTTCTTGTTATAATAAGGTTAGGTAAGTTTTCTAAGATTCTTTTGGTGAAAATTTAAAAATTTTCTCTTATACGTTAAAAGATATATTTTTTTCATTAATGTTGATGTAAAAATTTTTAATTTTGCTACAAAAGAATCTTAGAAAACTTACCTAACCTTATTATAACAAGAACAATTTATTTTAGCCTAACCCAACTAAATATATTTTAGATCTGTTTACAATAATTTAATACTAAACAAATACAGTGAAATATGTTTTTTTCGTTAGGTTCAGAATGTTTTTGGCGAAATTATTGCATACACAAATTTTCACTTGTCCTATATGGCAAGATGAGCGTTGCTATTTAAATATATATATATGGCTGAGAAATAAAAAGTGAATGCAAAAGCCTCGTTGCCCCATCAAACCTGGCGAGCGCTGCCACATAAAATTCACCAATGTATGGTGAATTATAAGCACGTAGTTATGAATTTTTACTCCAATAAATTACTGTAATTCTCTTTTATTTCCGCAGACTCACCGTTGCAAAAGGAGCAAAATACTCTCAACCAGCAGAGTTTCTAGAACAAGAAGAATCTTCACTCTAAGATTCTTGCAATGACCTGTTCATCAAAATAGTGAAAGAAGAAAAGAAACACTGAATTCCTATACCTAATATTGGGAGTTGATAATTAGAGGTAAAAAACAATCTTCCTCATATTATTATTATTATAATCAAGGGGGAAGCACTAAACCCGGAGGATTATACAGCGCCTGGGGGGGGGGATGTGGAAGGTATTCAGGGTTAATTCGGGGAACTGGAGCACAGATCCAATTCCATAAATCAAGAGCCCCTCACCTACATCAAGTAACCTTCCTTGAGGGCAGTTGGAAAGGATATATGACAGGCTGGGTATGTGGTATCGAGGAATGGAGTTGAGGGAATGCGAAATCGTTTTGAGGGCCTTGATGTTGGTTAGGGAACTGAGAAAGGTCCGAATAAAGGTTTTGTGTAGGTTGCTTGTAGGTAGGTGCGTTGTCCCAGTTGAGGGCTTGTTCCCCATGTATGCATGGAAGAGTATTTGGTATAGATTTAGTAAGATGAAGTTAAACCCTCGGGCGCGTGAGGTGATGTTTCGTTTTCTGCATGGGATCCTTCTGTCTGGAGCGATACTACGAAACAGACAGGTTGTAGAGGGTGGGGGTGTGGTATCTGTGGGGGGACGAGACTGCGTTCCATGTAGTTTATTTTTGTGAAGGGTTAGAAGAGGTCAGGCGCTGGTTAGGTAGGTTGGTACAGAGGGTGGGAGGCCGTGGGGTGTCGGTTCTGCGTGCTTTAAGTCTGGATATGGGTGGGTTAGACGAGGGCGTCATAAGAGCTTTAGATTGTATCATGGTAGATTATATATATATATATATATATATATATATATATATATATATATATATATATATATATATATATATATATATATATATATATTATATATATATATATTTTTATTTTTTTTTTATTATCACACCGGCCGATTCCCACCAAGGCAGGGTGGCCCGAAAAAGAAAAACTTTCACCATCATTCACTCCATCACTGTCTTACCAGAAGGGTGCTTTACACTACAGTTTTTAAACTGCAACATTAACACCCCTCCTTCAGAGTGCAGGCACTGTACTTCCCATCTCCAGGACTCAAGTCCGGCCTGCCGGTTTCCCTGAATCCCTTCATAAATGTTACTTTGCTCACACTCCAACAGCACGTCAAGTATTAAAAACCATTTGTCTCCATTCACTCCTATCAAACACGCTCACGCATGCCTGCTGGAAGTCCAAGCCCCTCGCACACAAAACCTCCTTTACCCCCTCCCTCCAACCCTTCCTAGGCCGACCCCTACCCCGCCTTTCTTCCACTACAGACTGATACACTCTTGAAGTCATTCTGTTTCGCTCCATATATATATATATAATATACATATATATATATTATATATATATATATATATATAATATATATATATATATATATATATATATATATATATATACATATATATATATTATATATATATACATATATATATACATATATATATATATATACATATATATATATATATATATACATATATATATATATACATATATATATATATATATATATATATATATATATATATATATATATATAATATATATATATATATATATATATATATATATATATATATATATATCGTGGGTGATGAGGGGTAGAGGGGATAGTGAAGAGCGAAAGAAGGTTCTGGCGGTAACTTTCAATCGTACGATGTGTCGTAACAGAGAATTGTATGGGAGGAGGTGGGATCAGGTTTTCTCAGAGGGGTATAGAATGCTAATGTTAGGAATTCTCGTGAATCTATGAATGATAATGAGTGAGTGAAGGGGTTTTTATAGGTTGAGAGGGTGTCAGGGGGGTCACAGCGGGCTCGCCTCCTATGGGGGAGGGGGGTGTCGTGAGAGTGTTTTGAATGTGGGTGTGGAATGGTTTCCTGGTTTTCATTGAGGCATTATTGCATCATTAGCCTTGTGGTTATCATGCCAAGTGTGGATGTAGAGCTTGAGGACTCGAAGTATCAGCCTTGTATGACACGATTCTTAAGTAATATTGTTCTTTGCGATATGATGGTGTTTTTTAGTTTGTATTTATGTTTGTGCTGGGTTTTTGCATGAAGAGATATACTTACATACTGTTTTGTTTTGTGCATACAGTGCATCTGATTAATGTGATTTTGAGAAACATTTTTTTGTGTGTATAGGCCATTCTATTGTATTGAGCCTTTGTCATAGGTCAGGCTTAATGTAAAACTTTATATGTTTCGATTCATTTTAAAGTTTATAATTTTGGTCAGTACCCTGATACCGGTTTGTTTTCGTTGCTATGTTCTTGATGTAAGTTTTCGTAATGACACGATTGCAAACAAAACATAACCCCGGCCGGGATTGAACCCGCGGTCATAGAGTCTCAAAACTCCTGCCCGTCGCGTTAGCCACAATAAGATTCATACAACTAGGTATATTTCTACACCATAGGAAGGTTACCACAGGCACCACAGTGACCACAAATGCAAGTTTTTACAGACGAATCTCCAGCTAGCGTGGCCGTGACGAACTCTAGCTCAAGTCCCTTAACTGCTGTCAACATGACTCAAGAAATCGTAATGACACGATTGCAAACAAACCATACACCCGGCCGGGATTGAACCCGCGGTCATAGAGTCTCAAAACTCCAGCCCGTCGCGTTAGCCACTAGACCAGCTAGCCACAATAAGATTCATCCAACTAGGTATATTTCTACACCATAGGAAGGTTAGCACAGGCACCACTGTGACCACAAATGCAAGTTTTTACGGACGAATCTCCAGCTAGCGTGGCCGTGACGAACTCTAGCTCAAGTCTCTTCACTGCCGTCAACATGACTCAAGAAATCGTAATGACCCGATTGCAAACAAACCATACCCCCGGCCGGGATTGAACTCGCGGTCATAGAGTCTCAAAACTCCAGCCCGTCGCATTAGCCACAATAAGATTCATCCAACTAGGTATATTTCTACACCATAGGAAGGTTAGCACAGGCACCACTGTGACCACAAATGCAAGTTTTTACAGACGAATCTCCAGCTAGCGTGGCCGTGACGAACTCTAGCTCAAGTCCCTTCACTGCCGTCAACATGACTCAAGAAATCGTAATGACACGATTGCTAACGCGACGGGCTGGAGTTTTGAGACTCTATGACCGCGGGTTCAATCCCGGCCGGGGGTATGGTTTGTTTGCAATTGTGTCATTACGATTTCTTGAGTCATGTTGACGGCAGTGAAGGGACTTGAGCTAGAGTTCGTCACGGCCACGCTAGCTGGAGATTCGTCTGTAAAAACTTGCATTTGTGGTCATAGTGGTGCCTGTGCTAACCTTCCTATGGTGTAGAAATATACCTAGTTGGATGAATCTTATTGTGGCTAGCTGGTCTAGTGGCTAACGCGACGGGCTGGAGTTTTGAGACTCTATGACCGCGGGTTCAATCCCGGCCGGGGGTATGGTTTGTTTGCAATCGTGTCATTACGATTTCTTGAGTCATGTTGACGGCAGTTAAGGGACTTGAGCTAGAGTTCGTCACGGCCACGCTAGCTGGAGATTCGTCTGTAAAAACTTGCATTTGTGGTCATAGTGGTGCCTGTGCTAACCTTCCTATGGTGTAGAAATATACCTAGTTGGATGAATCTTATTGTGGCTAGCTGGTCTAGTGGCTAACGCGACGGGCTGGAGTTTTGAGACTCTATGACCGCGGGTTCAATCCCGGCCGGGGTTATGTTTTGTTTGCAATCGTGTCATTAAGAAAACTTACATCAAGAACATAGCAACGAAAACAAACCAGTATCAGGGTACTGACCAAAATTATAAACTTTAAAATGAATCGAAACATACATATATAAAGTTTTACATAAAGCCTGACCTATGACAAAGGCTCAATACAATAGAATGGCCTATACACACAAAAAAAATGTTTCTCAAAATCACATTAATCAGATGCACTGTATGCACAAAACAAAACAGTATGTAAGTATATCTCTTCATGCAAAAACCCAGCACAAACATAAATACAAACTAAAAAACACCATCATATCGCAAAGAACAATATTACTTAAGAATCGTGTCATACAAGGCTGATACTTCGAGTCCTCAAGCTCTACATCCACACTTGGCATGATAACCACAAGGCTGATGCAATAATGCCTCAATGAAAACCAGGAAACCATTCCACACCCACATTCAAAACACTCTCACGACACCCCCCTCCCCCATAGGAGGCGAGCCCGCTGTGACCCCCCTGACACCCTCTCAACCTATAAAAACCCCTTCACTCACTCATTATCATTCATAGATTCACGAGAATTCCTAACATTAGCATTCTATACCCCTCTGAGAAAACCTGATCCCACCTCCTCCCATACAATTCTCTGTTACGACACATCGTACGATTGAAAGTTACCGCCAGAACCTTCTTTCGCTCTTCACTATCCCCTCTCCCCCTCATCTCCCACGATATATATATATATATATATATATATATATATATATATATATATATATATATATATATATATATATATATATATATATATATATATATATTTATATATATATATATATATGTATATATATATAAATATATATATATATATATATATATATATATATATATATATATATATATATATATATATATATATATATATATATATATAATCTACCATGATACAATCTAAAGCTCTTATGACGCCCTCGTCTAGCCCACCCATATCCAGACTTAAAGCACGCAGAACCGACACCCCACGGCCTCCCACCCTCTGTACCAACCTACCTAACCAGCGCCTGACCTCTTCTAACCCTTCACAAAAATAAACTACATGGAACGCAGTCTCGTCCCCTCCACAGATACCACACCCCCACCCTCTACAACCTGTCTGTTTCGTAGTATCGCTCCAGACAGAAGGATCCCATGCAGAAAACGAAACATCACCTCACGCGCCCGAGGGTTTAACTTCATCTTACTAA